CTGCTTCTACTCGTCAGGTACAGCCCTAATATTAGTCCAAATACAGGCAGTGATATTACAGGGAACTCATTCTGCAGAGTTCTGTGGGCACTTGGCAGGAAAGTCCTCAGTACTCAGCCCCTGATGACATCTTGTGCAACAAGACATGCTGGGTCACAGCACAAGCTACTGATGTCATCGTGTTTGTGGGCGCTTCAGAGCTGACTTTGAGCTGTTTCATAGATTGTCCTGTGAGTATCCTCTATTCTGAATAAATGCAGCAGTTTTAGACAGTGCTACACTATCTGGTATGCTTTGTTTATTTCCTCATGTCTCCTGCTGCCCTTATTTCATTGCTGAGCTGATTGCAGTCTGGGTTGTGATCAGGGGCGGACTGAGAACTCATGGGGCCCCCGGGCAATAGGGGATCATGGGGCCCCTGTGTCTTTGCCCAAACTCAAAAAAGCCTATGAAAAAGGTACCAGGGGAATCTCATGGGGCCCCCTACTGATCCCGGGCCCTCGGGCAGTGCTCGAGTTTCCAAATGGTCAGTCCGCCCTGGTTGTGATCCATGTCAAGCTGGCCATCACCATCCTTTGGACACTTTCTGTACATGTAAGCGTGTATGACCTCGGTTGGTGGGGGTCATGTATTTATGGTAAGAGGCTCTGGTCTCTTAGTGGTGGTGCACTGGAATTGGCAAATTTGGAGTATTGCTCTGCACATGTAATTTTTTACTGGACACATGATTATTGTACTTTCATGAATTTTTTTTACTGGACACATGCTTTTTTGACTTTTGTTTCACATCATTGCATATTTATTTTACTGCCTTTTGCATTATTCAGTGTGACATTTATTTCAGAGCAAAAGTCTTGAAAATTTAGAGGGGAAGAGCAACACAGCTTTTTCTATCAGATTTATTACTTTTTAGACAGATATAAGTGAGTGCAATATTCTTTCCTTTTTAAAAATGTATTTAAGGTTTGATTTAATTTCAGTGAGCATGAAGTTTCATAATATTTAAAAAGGGAGGCCTGTGCTATTTCTTGCTCTGTTCTGCCAGCCCTAGAGGGACACTGAAGGACACCTTTGGACATTGCTGGATCCTGGAAAGGTAAATATTAGGTAAAATGAAATTAAACAAAAATGATTTTTTAAACCATTCTATTGCTGAAACTGTGCATACATCTCCCAGCACAGTATGCTGGGAAAGGAATAAAAGGATAATGACAATATTTAACAAGATTTGTTCAAAGATTCATCCAAGGATTTGACCAGAAATAAAATAACTTTACTGTACATTAATATTCATCAACATTAGAAGATTCAATCTGTTAGAGATTCTGTATATAGCCCTACAGAACAGACAGTGCACAGTCCACATATGTTTATCTGTTGCTTCACCGTAACCAGGAAACAGGAGCTTTATTCAGAGAAAATGCATAGAGTTTTACCATAGATGCAGCTACAAACTTAAAAAACACTGTAATGGTTGTGCGTACTGGGCATACGAATAACTGCGTGTGTAGCAGCCATTTTGTCCATGTCATCAATTTCCTATGCCATTTCTTCATAAGAAAGCATTGCACAGTGACCTTTTCCTCTTAGTTGCTGGCAGACAGCCCTTATCCGCTGGGAATAGGACTAGCAGAATCTAACCCCCAATATACATTGTAGGGCCCATAACAGTGTCTGACGTAGCAGCTTCCATGGCCAGAAAGTTACCGGACATTGGGTCATAAATACCTTAGCTGGAAGCCAGGAGAATACACATCCCTGATGGACTGGTTGTCAGCCGAGACTCTAAAACTTCAGCATGTGTTATAACTCATGAAATAATGATATCACAGCCAGAATATAGACATATATACCTCCCTCAATTATTAGGTAGCATTTTGAACCCACACATCCCTATGCTAGGAGGTAGCAGAGTGGATTAGGCCTCCACACCCCTCCTGTGAGAAATAGATCTCTGAGAGCTGTTATATCTATATCCATTTTAAAGCTAATTTCATGTTGAAAAAAATTCTGCATGGTAGCAGACTGTAAATGGTAGATATTCAGAAATATGAATACTTACAAGAAACTGTATGTGGGACTTGGTCATAAATGTGGTGACCTCCCAACACCCACCCCTTAACCCGGATGATTGGTCAGATGGTCTCTGTAAACACCCCCCTTGATGTCAGATAAAAAAGAGATTGCAAGCAGATTTTTAAGATCTCTTTTTAACATCAACCAAGGGACACCTAACCGGATTTGAGAGAGCCACTGCAACGTTTTTGCTTGGACAATGGGACTCTGCTAAAACCAAGGACTTTGCAAGTACTCTTCCTTTTCAACTAATTTTTAATTCTCTCTTGCTTTATTATCTCTTTTTTTCCTTGTAACCCCCTTTTTTTCTTTAAATATTTTATTTGCACCATTTTGACCTTTTCAGTATTAAACTCTATTTTGAAAAGTGTTAAAACTGTCTCTAAGGCTTTAAATGTAAACTATTGAAACCCTGTCTCTTGAAGATTGCTACTGTATGACAAATCTCTGCATACATCTGTCTGTGGTTTTCATATTTGTTATTGCTAACATTATGAGTACCCATTCCTCATTCAAAAGGCGATAGTGGTAGCTTAAAAAGTTAATTGCTTAGTTAATTTAACCCAGTGACAATCACTCTCAGGCTGCGGCACCTAGATTGTGGTCTAGCTGGAAAATCTTTGTGCAGGGTGCAACTGAGAGTGGCATTGTTGCGTAAATAACAGCAGTGGTGTGAGATTGAAAAAATTAAAAAAGTGCCATTGTGCTTATGGGTATAATCAATAATTACAACCCTTAGCAGCAGTCCTAATTGTGAACTAATACACACAACATCATACCATATGGACTGTGCATAAATGGTGCAAAATAAATATATGAGAAACTCTGTAGCAATGAGTAAAAATCAATATTATTAATAATAATAATAATAATAATAATTATTCAGTCCCAGCAAGTGAAAATAAAGTGCAAGGTGCTGTAAATCTTGATTGTGAACTCCTTGTACAATACAACAGGTGCTCCACTGTGCTCAGACTGGTGCCCCACATGGACTAACACTCACCGTCATCCCGTGATCTCTAGGATGGTCGCTTGCGCTTTTGGGACTATCCCAGTATGCAATGTTGCTAATGGTCACTGGTTGCTCCTCCAAAAGTGCTGTATCAATACCAACTCTCTCCTCTCCTCTAATTTCTCAGCAGTTCACTCAAACAGCACAGCGTTGCCACTAAAAAACAAAAAGAGGGCAAACCAGCCTAGTGTGTTACCTTTATAAACCATTTATTAATTCATAAACACAATTATTATACTCACAAACAAATGAGTTAACTAGTCCTTCAATATGATCAAAGACACCACCAAATCTGCGGCACTTCATCATCACTGGAAGAAGCTATCCATATGACTAATGTGTTTCAAGGGGTAACCGCTATTCATCAGAGCAAAAGCTTAGAGAAAGCAATGCATATGTAAACCATCAGAACATGGGATGTCTTAAGTTTTACAAAACGATAATAATATGTGATCATGAGCAAGAATCAAAAGCCAGCAAGCCTGCGTGTATACCAACACTTATTTGAAGGAATGAAAGAAGGATTACAGTCAATAAAAACTGTAAGGGGTAGAGATATGATACAAACAGAAAGTAGAAATGGTATAGGCAGCACAGTGGCTAAATAGTTAGCACTTCCGCCTGGCAGCACTAGGGCTGTTGGCTCAAATCCCAACCTTGGCACCACCTCCCTGGAGTTTGCATGTTCTCCCTGTGCCTGTGTGGGGTTCCTCCGAATACTCTGGATTCCTCCCACACTCCAAAGACATGCTGGTAGGTTAATTGGATCCTGTCTAAATTGGCCCTAGTATGTGTATGTATGAATGTAAGTTAGGGACCTTAGATTCTATGCTCCTTGAAGCTTAGGGACTGATGTGAATGTACAATATATATACAGTATTCAATCCATAAGACGCACTTTTTTCCCCCAAAAAAATGGGGGAAAATGTCTGTGCATCTTATGGAGCAAATATGGAGCGGCCTTCCCGGTATTCCCTACGCTGCCATGTTAGAATACCGGGCCGGCTGCTCGGCTCTACTGTGCAGAAGTACCCACTTCTCCATCCTACCTGTTCCTCGGTCCAGCAGTGTCCTGCTTTCACCATCCGTCTTCTCTCCTTTGCACCGGCATCTTCAGTGTGGGCACCTAGCTGTGACAGCTTGCGGCTTCTGGGTGTCTCTGGTCATCTCCTGTACTATGTCTGCAGTCTCTGGTCATCTTCTGTACTATGTCTGCTGTCTCTGGTCATCTCCTGTAGTACATCCGCAGTCTCTGGTCATCTCCTGTACTATGTCTGCAGTCTCTGGTCATCTCCTGTACTGTGTCCGCAATCTTTGGTCATCTCCTGTACTGTGTCCGCAGTCTCTGGTCATCTCCTGTACTGTGTCCGCAGTCTCTGGTCATCTCCTGTAGTATGTCCGCAGTCTCTGGTCATCCCCTGTACTGTGTCCGCAGTCTCTGGTCATCCCTGTACTGTGTCCGCAGTCTCTGGTCATCTCCTGTACTATGTCCGCAGTCTCTGGTCATCTCCTGTACTATGTCCGCAGTCTCTGGTCATCTCCTGTAGTATGTCCGCAGTCTCTGGTCATCTCCTGTACTGTGTCCGCAGTCTCTGGTCATCTCCTGTAGTATGTCCGCAGTCTCTGGTCATCTCCTGTACTGTGTCCGCAGTCTCTGGTCATCTCCTGTACTATGTCCGCAGTCTCTGGTCATCCCTGTACTGTGTCCGCAGTCTCTGGTCATCTCCTGTACTATGTCCGCAGTCTCTGGTCATCTCCTGTACTATGTCCGCAGTCTCTGGTCATCTCCTGTACTGTGTCCGCAGTCTCTGGTCATCCCCTGTACTGTGTCCGCAGTCTCTGGTCATCTCCTGTACTGTGTCCGCAGTCTCTGGTCATCTCCTGTACTGTGTCCGCAGTCTCTGGTCATCTCCTGTACTGTGTCCGCAGTCTCTGGTCATCTCCTGTACTGTGTCCGCAGTCTCTGGTCATCTCCTGTACTATGTCCGCAGTCTCTGGTCATCTCCTGTACTATGTCCGCAGTCTCTGGTCATCTCCTGTACTGTGTCCGCAGTCTCTGGTCATCTCCTGTACTGTGTCTGCAGTCTCTGGTCATCTCCTGTACTGTGTCCGCAGTCTCTGGTCATCTCCTGTACTGTCCCGCAGTCTCTGGTCATCCCTGTACTGTGTCCGCAGTCTCTGGTCATCCCCTGTACTATGTCCGCAGTCTCTAGTCATGTACTGTGTCCGCAGTCTCTGGTCATCTCCTGTACTGTGTCCGCAGTCTCTGGTCATCTCTTGTACTATGTCCGCAGTCTCTAGTCATCTCCTGTACTGTGTCTGCAGTCTCTGGTCATCCCCTGTACTATGTCCGCAGTCTCTGGTCATCTCCTGCAGTATGTCTGCAGTCCATTGGTTCAGAATATTCTTTTTCTTGTTTTCCTCCTCTAAAATCTAGGTGCGTCTTATGGAGGGAAAAATACGGCATGTAAAGCGCTGTGTAAACTGACAGCACTATATAAGTACATGTAATCATAATAATAAAGGTACAACACCCCACACCTGGGCCTACAGACATTGTCCAGAGGAAGTATATGGATAGATCTGAGAGTGCTGTCTAACATGCTTGTGGGCTAACAAGTTAGGTCAAGGCATGAAGGGATGAGTATCTGGAAACATTAAAGTGGCTGTAAACCTGGAAAGTCAAATACTAACAGAACACTAAATCTAATAAGGAACTGAGACACAAATCATTTGTACATAGTGTATCAGGTAGAAGAGCCTGTCATTTGGAATCCTGTCTGCTCTCTTGATTAAAAAAACCTGGACACCATGAAACAAATGGTGATGCCACACCCCCTTCTCCTTTGATTGAAGGCCTGTGTCATGAGACATGTTTGAGCCTGTGTGAAGGGGGCGTGTCTGCTGCTGCTCTGTACTGGACTGGGAGCTGTGACTAAGATCATAGCTGAGTTTACTTTCACTTTCCTCTCCTCCAGAGAACAGGGTACAAAGCTCACTGAGTCAGCACAGCATGCAGAGAGACAGACATCAGAGAGAGAGACATCCCTGAAGACAGACAGACCCTAAGCCTGTACAGAGTGTCCACAGCCTAGAAATCGAATCAGGATGGCACAGACAGACCAACAAGCTCAGGGAGAGTAGAAAAGTGACCAGGGGGGCATAGAGGATGAGGACTGCTTCCTGCTGCAGTCCCCTAAGTACTCATCAGTGAGGGACACTTCCAGAGACTTCAGTTCTATGGAAGAGAGGGGGAAATGCCAAATTCCACTGGGAGGAGAGGAGCCAGTGGTGAAAATAGCTGCACAATATGTGACACCATGCCACAGACTGAGAAGGACTTAAAAAATCCTTTTACATGGACTCATCTCTTCTCCTGTTTATATTACCCCTCCCCCTTTCCCATACAAACTGCTTTGGTAATGCTAATATGTTACTTGGTCCTGCAAATAAAGCTCTTTTGAATTTAAATTTGATAGAGAGTGAAAGACATACATATCAGAGAGAGACGTCAGAGGATATAGAAAGAGAGACACCAGAGGATACAGAGACATTAGATAATACAGAGAGAGAAAGGGATCAGAGCGAGAAAGAGAGGGTCATGAGAGAGAGATAGAGAGAGAGAGACAAGAGAGAGTGAGTGAACACACAGAGCAGAGGGAGAAAAGAGATCAGAGAGAGAGACATCAGAGAATACAAATACAGAGAGAGAAAGACATCAAAGCGAGAAAGAGAGAGACACCAGAGGATACAGAGACATTAGATAATACAGAGAGAGAAAGGGATCAGAGCGAGAAAGAGAGGGTCATGAGAGAGAGAGAGAGACAAGAGAGAGTGAGTGAACACACAGAGCAGAGGGAGAAAGAGATCAGAGAGACATCAGAGAATACAAATACAGAGAGAGAAAGACATCAAAGCGAGAAAGAGAGAGACATGAGAGAGATATCAGAGAGAGTAAGAGACACACATATCAGAGGGAGAAATACATCAGAGAGAGACATCAGAGAGAGAGAGAGACATCAGAGAATACAGATAATACAGAGAGAGAGAGAGAGACATCAGAGACATCATAGAATACAGAGAGAAAGAGACATGTGAGAGAGAGAGAGAGAGACATCAGAGAATACAGAGAGACATCAGAAAATACAGAGAGAGACATGCTCTGTGATTAGGTGGGAGGGGAATAGTGTGATGTTAGGTCTCCACCCCCTCAAGCTTTGGTGCCCAGAAATCAGATTTCTGAGGGATAAAACCGAATGTGGATGACTTTTTAAGAAGTACAGACAATCTGAATTAGGTTATAACACCATTATCTACTAAACTGTGCAAAAGAATGGTTTGGGGTTTACAGCCACTTTGGTAGCTGGAGGAACATGTAAAAGCTGTCTAGGGCAGCCAGGTATTGAGGAATTTTTCTTCTTTTTTTTGTAAAGTAACTGTCAACTGCTGCTTCTTATGGATTTCACTGACTCTGGTGAACCAAATACAAATCATTGGAGGGCATGGTTGGTTTCCACAAGACTGGGATACATACTCAGGCTGCAGTGAGAAGTTGGGCCATGAGAGAAGATCAGGGGCGGACTGACCATTTGGAAACTCGGGCCCGCCCTGAGGGCCCGGGGGGGTCAGTAGGGGGCCCCATGAGATGCCCCTGGTACTTTTTTCATAGGCTTTTTTGAGCTTGGACAAGGACACAGGGGCCCCATGACCCCCTATTGCCGGGGGGCCCCATGAGTTGTCAGTCCGCCCCTGGAGAAGATATAATAATTCAGTGGCACTACATTTATATATAAAAGGTAACTGATGGGATTGGTTCCTAAATCCACTGATCTGAGCTGCCAAATAATTTTGCGGACCCCAGTCCAGAATGGGTGTAGTAAAGGACACTCCGAAAAGATAAGTCATGATGATCCCAAGCCTCGCTGACAGCGGCAGCAGGTACAATGGGCTTGGGGAATTTGCAAATTATACTTTATTAACTCATCCCCGCACAGTTACTACCTTTTATATCATTTGACTTTTAGATTGAAAGCTTTTGGAAGCAGGGCCCTCCTAACCCTCTTGACTTGACTTGATTTGTATTGTCTGCTTGTGAGCAGGGTGCAGCATGGTGTACAGTTGGGGAGAATCACGCAGAGACCAAGAATAGTGCAAAAGTATATTAACGTCAAGTTGCAGCAATCAGAAACAGGATCTACTAGGCACACACACAACTGTTGGGATCCACTGATGGAGAACTGCTGAAGAGGTCTTAGATCATTTTGGATGATACCAACAACGTCTGCAGAAAGGGGCGAGAATGTGGCCTGGCCGATCCATACCCAAGAGTGAGACCATTGCTAGCATCAAGTAGGCATAGTCCCTGCACTTTCCCTACTCCTCCGGAACCTCTCCCTAGTGCTAAGCACTCTCCTTGACAGACGGGTAACATGTCCTGGAACTACCCACTTAGCAAAATGCGTGCAAAGCCAGGGAGTCAGTGCCTTAAATAAGCACTGCCCTTGTTCAAGATGGCTGCGGTGGTCAGCCAAGACAGCAGCATCCAGTCAGACAGCTGCTCTCCTGATGACTGCAGGTGTCAAACTGGCGGCCCTCCAGCTGTTGCCAAACTACAAGTCCCATGAAGCATTGCAAAATTGACAGTTACAAGCATGACTCCCAAAGGCAGAGGCATGATGGGACTTGTAGTTTCACAAAAGCTGGAGGTCCGCCAGTTTGACACCCCTGTTGTAGAGGAACTGAGTTCCTAAGTAATGCCGCTGTGATCCAGCGCCACCTACAGATCAGAGGATGGAATGCACATGCCTACACGTTTCGGAGAAGGCTAACCCACCCCCACCTAATAAACTGTGCTTTTACTTTCTCCGTCAGCTCATCCCTCATAGTTATTACCTTTTTTTATCAATTAACCCTCCTTTTTAGATTGTAATCTTGTAAGCAAGGGCCCTCTAAGCCTTCTTGTATTGAATTGTATTGCAGCTCTCTCTTTATTTTGTAAATCGCTGCAAAACTGTTGGGCTATATAAATCCTGTATAATAATTACAATAAATCTTAGCAAGAGGCCTGCCTGTGTATCACCAACGTATAAGTAAAATCTTCTTGAATGCTTAGACTTTTAATCTAAAAATGTCCAGGTTCTTAATTGCATGTTATAGTCCACCGTAAAGATAAATGATGACTTGTTCCATATGGTAATATTGTGACTGCAAGAAAACTTGTAGGAGCGCTGGTTTTATATAATTATAGTGTGAAAAATACAGGGTTGGTACAAGATGACACATTGAGCACTAAGACATTTCTGAATTTTAAGTAATGGTTATTAGTGTTAGTGGTTATAAACATTAAATGGCACCTTTGTGTGGACATGTCTGCCAGTCTAATGATGAGGAATTCCAGAAAACACAGTGTTCCAGTTATATGCTCCATAAACCCTTATCACAGTTGGTAGAAAAGTTGAAATGACTTGAGAATTAACTACTTTAACGTTGCCCACTTGCTGGAAAGGAAATCGAAATGGGTATGTAATTAAAGCAAACATTTACTTTATCCCTCTGCCCTGCAATATCATTAAACAAAATACTTGTGTGATTCATTCTGAAAATAGCTGGGGCTTGGTTTTCTCAGTAAATTAGGCATGAGATGTCACAGGCCATAATTTAGCAACTGAAGAACTCCAGTAACACACATTGTTTAGAAATGAAATGTATTCTACTTTTCTTAAAAAAGACAAATGCGTGTGTGAAGGGGATCATTTATTGGAGTGTTTATAAACAAACTGCAAATTCTGCATGATTAAACCTATTTTCACTTAATCGTGAATACACTGTCAGCTTGTGATAAGAAAATGATCAGAATTTGGGTGACCTAGGAAAATGTGTTTCTACTCATCACTAAGATTCACTGTTAAATTGAGCACAACCCTTTCACATATACAAGGACAATATCCGCAGAGCGGTATACCGTGTAGATGAATATTTTGGAGGTATTGTTTTTTTTCGGGTTCATTCAAAGGCTAAAACTGCAGATTCTGAAACCCATTTCTTTGCCTGGCATGAATTGGTGTTGGTTGCCAAGACATGTTATTACTTTCAGCCTTAGGGTCTATTCAGATTAGCGGCCTTCGTTCCAATCTGCAGGGGATCAGTGAACAGATCCTCTGCTTAATCAGAGCAGAATAGAATGGATGTCACTTTTCTGACACTTTCTGATATCTGTGTCTGTTAAATTTTTCTGTATCCTGTAACGGACATATGTTAAGTCTATAGGCAGGCAGAAGTAAACGGACGTGCATCTGTTTACATCCTTTTACTTCTGATTCATCATGTTTCGTTTTGGGAAAAAAAAAAAAAAAAAAGGCACACAAACTTTTTCCATTTTTTTTTCTTTTTGACCTAGACGGACTAGAGGAGATCAGATGTATGTCTGTTTACATCAGCCTGCCCACAGACTAATACTGAGCTTTCACAAAATACAAAAAAATTTGGAT